GAGGATGGGGTAGCAAACACTTCATAACTACCAGCTGCTTTCGGCTGCAGCATACGTTGCACAGATTAAACAATAACTTTTTTTCTTACATTTTTAATTTATTGGCGTAAAAATTAATTATTGTCCCATCCTTCTCCGCATTTACCCATTACCTAACGGATTTATATGCACACAAAGATCGAATTTCACATCCGTTGGTTAATGTGTTAATGGATTTACATATACAACAAATAAGCCTAAATTAGGGCGAGGAATTTTTTGAAAATGAGTATGTTATTCCCTCGATTTGCCGGTATTAGGATGTTAGTTGCGTGTGGACCGTGCGTTCATACAATAGCAGTTGAGGGTACCCGGGTGGCCCCCATAAGCTAAATGAAGTTGACGGAGCGTATTACTCCAAGGATTAACAATCTTTCGGCATGTTAGTCCCATTCTTAGCTTTTTTGCACCGCTTTTCGTTCGAAGAGTCTTCAAGAGACCGCATCTAACACGAACTACAAACACGTACCTTTTTAACAACGAAGATATCCCTCATAACACATACGCTCGATCGATCTTTAACATATAAGACCAATAAGACCCATCTATTCGGATCAATATATTGCGCCTAAAGTATTTACGTCTTTGTGATTTACCGTTTAAGCTACAGCGCATTCATTCCTCCTTATTCCCTTTAATTACATTACGTCTCCGTACACCGTACCCCGATTAAATTCGAGAAAAGTATCCTAAGGGCAAGCGTAAAAAACACCCCGTCTCTGTCTACACATATTTTCAATATTACTTATTGCGCCTAGAGCAGCAATGCATCAAGAGTATTACGGTGAAAAGGTGAGGATTTCGCAGCTCTAAGCTCCCCAAGCTCAAGCAGAACGTCGTCAGGTTTTATGTTAATACAGCTTTTATTTTCTGAAAGCTGGATATCGTTAGGAAGTTTTTTAAGCGTAAGAATAACGCCTTTCTGATGTAGACAAATTACTTTTATTCTCTTTATTACATTCTTCTTATACTCGAAAGCTTTTCATTTTTTCTTGCAAAATCGACGGTATTTTTGCAACAAAGGTTAAAAGTGCACTAAACCAAATGACACCTTACCAATGGGGCATCGCACATTAGGTACCCTTTTTAGCGCATTTCCACAAAAATAAAAAAAAATGCGCTATTGTGGCCACTTCGTCCGTCCGTCCGTCCGTTCGCTCGTTTTGCGACGCTACTAGTTCTTTATCTTAAGAGCTATTGTTCTACTTTTTTCGCTATTTGGTTCGTTATGGTGTCGAGTCTTGTACCAAGGAAGGAATTTTTTCTGTACCGCTTACAAAAAAAGTTATTGTAAAAAAAACAAAAAACCGTTTTTTACATGTTCCATAATTTTACACTTTTGCCGTTTATTAACGATCCTAGAGATCGTTTATAATTTTGCATTGCTATCTGTCGCCTGCCGGTTGGTCTCTCCGTCTGTTCCTTTGTCTGTCTGTCCATCTATCTGTCCGTGTGAACGATAACTTTGTTTAGAAATGTTCGATCGCTTTTACATCTCCGTTAGTTATGAACTGAATTGCATGAAATTCAATATGGGCATAGCTTTAGCCATATAATACGCAATGCCAAAAGTTGAATCGAATCGATTCAAAATCACAGTGCCCTTTTCGCATCTCGACCATTTATAAACCGAATTGCAAACTTTTTTACTTATAAAAGTATTTGAATGAAATTTGATACATAGGCACATGGAATAAAGGAAAATCAAACGCCAATTTCAAAATTTGGTTTTGCGCATGCGCAGTGCCAACTTTTTTATTTATGGAAGAATTTAAATGAAATGTGATACATAGGCACTTAGAATAAAGGAAAATCTAGCGCCAGTTTCAAAATTTTATTTTGCACATGCGCAGTGCCAACTTTTTTATCTATGGAACCATTTAAGTGAAATTTGATACTTACTGTCGGCGCAAAAAGTATGTGCACCCGAGTTTAAAGATTAATAAAAAAATAACCAGTTGACCTATTTTAATGGGAGGGGTATCAAATTAAAGTTCGTTTAATTTTGCGTTGATTAGGCCTAAAGGATATTTTTTCCATAAAATTTAACTACATTTAGAACGCATAAAGTGCAAAAAATGCCCCTTTTTTGTGATATTTCTCGTTACGGTCAAGTTTGGAGTCGAATAAAACGAAAACCACCCCATGAAATCGCTTCCAATTTTAGTATGCTATACATTGAACCTTTTTAAATAAGTAGTTAAAATTTTAGTACGAGAGTAGAGGGTAGAGCCATTTATGTAAGTTCCGATTTTATCAGAAACGGGAGGTCGCACGAACTTTTAAAGTACATCGATATCAGCGGCTTATTGTCAATAAAACAATAGATGTACTTTTAAAACTATAATTTGATTAAGTTTGCCATAAACATTTTTTTATTTTATGGAGTTTTTCGCTTTGCATGTCGCGTGTATCGAGATGCTTGTGAAGGATGCGCGCGAACTCCCAGTCCACTTGCATTCATTTCCCATTTGTAAGATGCAACTTTTGTTAAAATCGTAAAAATCCGCAAAATGCAAGTGTGCTTTATGTAAATCGTTTACGCTTACTTTTTAACTTGTTCATATTGCATGCAGTGGCGTTTCGAGCCTGTAAGAGCAGTTTCGGAACTGTAAGAGATAGGTAGGTAGTTTAAAATTGGCAAAGTTGCGTATTTTAATGGTTAGTAAATGCAGTTTTGAAACGGAAAAAATTCCGACTACTTTCGGAGATATCCGGAAATTTTGCAAAATCGTTGTTATTTTTTACTGAAGCTATTTAAAAAGATATTTCAAAATAAATAGCACACTTTTTTCCCTCTACAAGATGCTTGTTTTAAATTATAAATCCGACGTTTCGTCATCGGTTAACCATCATCAACTTTGTTTTTTTCTTATGGGAGTAATTTTTACTTTTTGTGTCATTTGATAGAGAACCTGTTTCTGATTTAAAATTGTTTGAATACTGTTAAAATATCTTTTTTTTTGTCTAGAAAATTTTGTCTTGGGTAGTGTACGTACGTAATTTCCTGCCTTTTTACGAATTAATAGCGCTATTTCTGATTAAAAAATAGTGATGTTTAACCTTTTGAAAACAGAAAAAAATTCTCTATCAAATGACACAAAAAGTAAAAATTATTCTATAAGAAAAAACATAGTTGATGATGGTTAGCCGGCAGACGAAACGTCAAAATTAAAATTTAAAAGTAGGATCTTGTAGAGGGAAAAAAGTGGCCATAATAATGTGTAATTTATTTCGAAATATCTTTTTCAAGTAAAAAATAAAACAATTTTGCAAAATTTGCATTTTGTTAAGCATCAAAATACACAACTTTGCCAAATTTAAACTATATATACCTATCTCTTACAATTCCCGAGATCCCCATGGTGGCCCTCGAATTTGAATCAGCCTGTATATCAGTTCGTAAGAGTTTATTAGTTATATATATAAAACAATTTAATTTAATGAAAAACAAAGGAAAAACTTGAGCGTATAAATATCAATTACAAATGATTATAGATTAATTTCAGTTTGCTAAAATTGCGTTCACAAGCTACCGATGAAACAGAGCAGGTCAAAAGTAACTGAACACTGAGTTTAATTTGAACGCAACTTTTGAAACCGCTTCAAAAAATCAAAACTCTCACTCTTTACGGAAGCATCTAGCTAGAAGAATCTGCAGTAATTTTAAATTGTGAGATTGTTGTTGAAAATAATTTTATACATGTAGGTATGAATTTTTGCAAAGCTTATATTATATTTATGTCAAATAAATAGAAAACATCATATACAAAGTTTTTGTGCGGTTAAAAAATATGTAAGGTACAAGACATCTACCTCACGCTCACAGAAGTGCCCAAATTTGATATCTATTGAAGATTGAATCCCGCGGCTTGAGTTCTGGCTTAGGTAAAACTGGGCTCAAATTTCTAATTAGTACATAATGTGATTGGTGCATTTTTGCAATTTAACCAATCAAACTCCTTAATACGCTATTCAGCTAAACTTTTATTTTTAAACCTAAAATATTTGTATGAAAAGACATTTTTCTTGTCCTTTTAAAAGCAGTTTCATTTAGCATCTCCAACGCAATTAGCCTACTTGTCCGCTGTAAATGCCAACTAAGAAAATCTTTGGGGGGTCCGACACTCCCCTACCCCCTACCCCGCCGAAACGCCCCTAATTGCATGCTAAAGGTCTCACTCTTCAAATTTCGTTCGCACCATCCTTTATTACACCAACGTGTATTGGGACATTTTCTTGATTTCCTTCACATTAACTTCTGCATACAAATCTAATTAAATTGCATTATACAGGGTCGCTTGTTTTAATGTAGAGAAAAATTCAGAACAATTAAAATAAATAAATTGTGCACAGGTGCAGATAAAGCGCATTTTTTCATCACCAATGAATATATTTCTTGCAGACGTCTCAATCGCCGTTTGTGAGTACCCTCTTCCGACAATACGTTCTTGAGGTATAAGGGAATATACCCGATCACGATAAGAGGTCGAGAAGGAGGGCAATGGTTGGTAGAAATTAATTCCTTTCGTTGAGACCTTTCATTAGAGTACCATGAAGGATGAAACTAGTTCCACCCCCCCCCCTCACCCGCTAGCCCGTCGCTCACTGATCAACGGAGAGCTGTATTTTCAAGAATCGAACGGGATCAAAAGACGGCAGTGGTGGCTTCGGAAAACTAAACCAAAATTACGGCAAACTCCCAAGTGGAAGTGAAGGCAACAAAACACAAATCGGCGGAGGCGGCGCAAAAGCACTTGCGGAAAAGCGAACAATATCTGTCCCTATAATTAGTGAAACGGGAAGTAACAAAAAGCTTACCTTGAAATTAACGGAGCGGTAGCAAAAGTTCGCTAACAGTCAATTCCAATAAATAAAGTGCGGTAACTTAATTGCAAACCAAAATGAAACGGTGCGTGTAACTTCCTACATGTTAGCATAGTATATGTGTTAGATTATGGTTAGCAAAACATTTCGTTTATTTAAATACAATTATTCTGAGGTATATATACAGCTGATATCTTACATAAAGATAATTAAATACTGTGACATCCATAGGATTTTACTTCTTACTTGTCAATCGTGGAGGTTCATCTTCACAAATAGTTCTAAATGTCTATCCATATAATAATGTATCGTGAGGTGATAAATGGGGAAACCCGTTTTGTTCCCATCTGCCAAGCCAAGGGCACCCTAACCAATAGACTAGTATGCGTTGTGTATCATTAAGTATGCTGTGATCCCGCCTCTACCAAATGCTGCACTTCTTCTTTGGATTCATCGGGCAGCCAGAAGGGCAATGGTACGCCTCCGCAAACTCCTTAGAATTACTTAAAGTTCCGATTACCCTAAAAGCTAACTACTCGCACTCTTAGGTTCTAATGCCTTGGGGAACGTACCGAAAGCGTCCCGGAGAGTGAACAGCAGTCTTAATTTTGTTACGTGTGGCCTCGGGACGAGTAGATCCGCACCAGACTTGAGCAAAGTTAAGGAAAAACATCTGCTTATTTGTGATGTTTAGACCTGGGAGTGACTCATCGACCTTAGGATTCTCGCTTAACCATTTTATATAAGCCTAATGCACAACAAAGTTAATCATCGCGAATGATGTAACATACGCACCTTGTACGCTTGTTTAATTCCGCCGTTATCGGCGATATTTTCACCTTGAGTGTTTATACCGTCCACTTGCATGTTAACCTCTGGTACGATGTAGGTGTTATATTGATCTGCACTAATAATGGAAATTTCAAATAATTTGTGTAGTACATACCGATGAGGCACTGTGCTCTATCGTGAAACTCTTGTATGGCCTGTTGCCTCCACCACCTTTGCAGGTTGCCTTCTTTGTCAAACAACCGACCTTTGTCGTCAAATCCATGGGTTATCTCGTGCCCGATTACCACCCCGATGCCTCCATAGTTTAAGCTGCGAGGAAAGTGTCGTTGATAGAATGGTGGTTGAAGGATTCCCGCAGGAAACACTAAACGTTCAAAGCGTGAGTATTAACAACTAGGTATATCACAACACTTACTTATTTGATTTCTATTTCGACTGTAATAGGCATTGACCACGGCCGGTGCGGTGTTCCACAGGGTTTTATTTACCGTCGTAAATATTCGATTCTGTTCGGCACGAGCTAGATGCTGAAAGTCACAAGTGGAGGAGTGGTTGGGTTTCGAAGTGACCTACCTGCAATATACTTAGTGTGTTTTCAAAGTAGCGATCTGGATGGATTTGCACATCCTTATAACGATCCGATAACTCATCCATATTCAGTATAAACTCTGGATATCCTATTCGTAAATGCATCGCGTCAATTTTCAAACGAGCCAACTGCTTTGTGTTGGCGTCCAACCAATCGGTATCCAAAAGAATGTCGCGGAAGGATTGCTTGATTTCTTTTGTCATTTGGAGAGTCTGAAGTTGTAACTTCGAGAATGACACCTAGCGCATTGGAAGCACTTACATCGTTTTTGCTGATTTCATCAAAATATCTCTCAACAAACATTCTCCCTAATGCCATGCCCATGTTCGAGTTGACTTGCGTAACGCACGTTTGCCATCGCGGAGGTAATCTTTCCCGTCCGAAAAGAACGAAATAGAATCTATGAGAAGGAATTATATGCTTAGTTAAACAGAGCGATTTACCTTTGCTTAGTTTCTTGAAAGCGTTTATCCAAGTTGTTGACCCTGTGCCTGACAAATCTCCACAGTAGATAATTAGCTATTGTTCTAAGAAGGTTATTAGCGTGCCTGTATAGAACGCACTTCTATACGTACCTTGACGAAGTGTTACTCAACAAACTGACTAATTGCTGGTAGTAGGGAACGGAAAAGCACACAATTAGCTGATTGGAGCGAATAGGAACGTTCATAATTAGGTTTAAATATCGAAGCCAATCGATCTGTGGTATGGTGGCTTGTAGTTCGCCCACAGTCGCCTTCATATACAATTCAGAAACATTCCTACGATCATCTTGCGAAGCTGTAATCTGCAATTGCGGGAGGTTTTTAAATGTTTACGTTAGCAAACGACAAACCTTGGCCAATTCTGTTTCAAAATCAATAATCTGATCAACATCTTCCGTTGCTCTCACGATGGAAGCTCCTAGCAGGTTGGCTATACTTATGATGTATACGCGGTAGGCTTCCAGATACTTTAAATTGGAGTTGTCTAAGAAATAGTCCCTCGTCGGTAAACCCAGCGAGGTCTGATCAAACTGAATAATGTATTCGTCGGAGTTTTTGATGTCAGGTCCAACCCACTCTGAGATCAATACGTCATTATTGTACAGTCGTAATTGTGCTACCAAATATAACCAGTCAAATCGGGTTTCGTCCCACTCCTGCTCGATTATGGGCCAACCACCGAATTGCTTCAATAACTTCAAAAGCGGTTTCTCGCCGCGGCGATTAATTAAATCTAAAACACGGCGTACTTCAACTTCACTTTAAATCTACAACCCACCTTCATTCACGCACGATCTGTACAAATGTTTCGATTTGGAAACTGGATTTTTCGAATAGACCACCGGTTTACTTCTTCTTTTGTTCGTTCGTGATTTCTCACCCTTGTCCGTCGAGAGGGTGTTCTTCTCAACGTTAACACTCTGAAACCATTCCGAATGTTTTTGGGTACAGTCAGGCGTTGGTACTTACCAGTTCTTCCTGCTCCTCGAGATCCTCCTCGAATAGCAGGTCTCTTAACATTGCGTCCAAATTTTCGCGCAATATCTCGAAGGTATCGTATCCAGCTTTGTCGGGCGGAATCGGGTTGTACTTCGCCCAGTTTCCGCAGGCGTACTCGTAAAAATCGTCGCAGGGATTTATGGCGCTGTTCATGTATTGTTTCATCAGTGCAGCTAAACAAAAAGTACTTTGCACTCATATGCACTATACAGGGTGTTTTTTGGGAGCTTTAGTTAAACGGTTCTGCGAAAGTGAAATGGGTAGGTTTTTGACAATTTGTATCTAGGAACGCCGAATTAATGTAAAATATTTTCAAAATGGTCACATTTCCGGAAATGCCGGAAGTACCTAGCTAGTAACTTCGATATTTTAAATGGCAATCCCTAGTTTTTTTTGCATTTTTGAATTCTACCTTTTCGCGATTTTCTTTTTAGTATTCCGCCATGATTTTATGACAATCGAATTTTAAACAAATCAAGGAAAGGGAAAGGATTCTTTACTCATGCTCAAAATGAGTGCCTTCGTATTGCAAACACTTCTTGTCCTTAAATTGTAGAGGTTGTGTGACTTGTGATTCAAGGGCTTATAACTGCATTTCTTACTCTCAAGATCATGTCTTCTTTTTTTGTGGGAGGCCTAGGGAGGTTTTACGGATGCACTAATATTGAAACCCTGATTTAAACCCAAAGCAATTTCCGGGTCTCTCAACGAATTAGTGGGGTACGCCGTGAAATATCCGAGGACATTAACAATATTAGCCTCATTTTCAACAATGGCCAATGGGTCTTGCTCTAGGTAATTGTTTTGGGGTACAAAGTTTAAAAAATTCATATAATTACGTTCTGCGGTCCCTGTTCGCCGCGATTCTGTCCATTTCACCATTAAAAGTAACCATTTCTACGAATTTTTTCTTTCCTAAGGGGTTCAAGTTTAGACTGCATGCGCTTCCAGAAGTGGTTTTATTAAAGGGTATCTACATGCGACATGGAAGTGTCGCTTAATTTATGTTTAATTTAAGGAACCATCTACCCATTTTTATTAATTTCATTATCGTAGCTGGAAGGCGCCATGTAACCCAAAAATGCCAAACTAGTTTCGTATATTAAATAAAATTCGAAAAAACCATCATTATTCCTCTCTTAATTTAACTTTTTAAAATAAAATTCCCGTTATAGAGCCGTACGTAAACAACCAAGTGGCATCTCCTTTATATTACCTAAACTCTTTTTAAACAATATAATTATAACAGTGTTCTTAAAGGAAAACAACTTGACATTCTCTTGGAAATTTTAAAAGATTGCACATTTTTCTCAATCCGTCGGAAAAAGAATTTGGCATTGACACTGGCTATGTACAGATGCGGAATGCAACAGCCACTTATTCGGTTTAGGGCCCATGAGTTCGAATTAGCGCGACTATTGTAAAACTTCCGCCGTCTGTAATTCACAATTTATTTCTTGCTTTGCAAATTTTCCTCAAATTAACCAGTAAACAAAACTTTGATTTAAATGTTAGGTACGCGTAATTTATTCCTAGAAGGCAAAACACTCGGCAAAACTTTGATTGAGCTCGATCCGACGTAAAATCATTCATCATTTAGAATTTTAACATCCCCCGCTAAATAGCAATATAAACAATACATATAAATATCAAGATTCTTATTTAAAGAGATACTTTTTTCAAATTTTATCCACAGATGCTTCTATGCGCTACATGCGCATACGGTACAATATGAACTTCCTTATTTATAGATATTTTTTTGAAATTGTAAACAACGAGTCTTCTGGGACCTAAAGACAAGCATATCGTATATTGCAGTAATAAAATGTGCGCATGCGCAAACTAATGTCATCTTATTTATGAAGATATTTTTTTCAATTTTTAACGACATATGCTTCTAGTACAGACAAGCATATCGCATATTGTAAAAATCAGATGTGCGCATGTGCAAACTGCGCAGTGTCAATTTTCTTATCTATGGAGATATTTCCTTGACATTTTTATTTGCGAATTGTAATGGAAACCCCAATCTCGGCCCCAATACGCTAAGTTTTTTCGAAAGCTAGTCGCACCAATCCATATTTCGATAAATTTTAAAGTCAGTTCATTTGTATAAAAAACCTCCATCTACAATGTATATAACTAGTAGTACAAGATCCCATATAAGATCAACCTTCGCTCATTTGTTAACCGAGTGAAATACATTTTTTACCAATCTTAATATGTAAACAAACACATTGGAAAGGGGTTGCATCAAAAAAAAAAGTCAAGACTACCCTTAATGAAAATGAATGTAATGATAATATTTCGGTCTGCTTCTATCACGTGGAGAGAGCGCGTGCGCACTCTCTTACATTTGATGCTTATACCACGATTAGCTGTTTCGCTGCGTCCTTCTATTTCACACGGAACAATATACATGTGTCTTTCTCGCGCGCCACTTACAATTGCGACAACCGCACTGTTTCGCGTAAAAGAGAAGGACGCAGCGTAATAGCTGATCGTAAGGTACGCAACGATGTAAGAGAGTGCGCATGCGTTCTTTCCATGTTAGGGGGTAGAAAGATAAATTTTAATTACATTAATTTTAATCAACGGTAGTCTTGATTTAATTGCAACCCATTTTCAATGGGTTTGTTTACATATTAAGATTGCTAAAAAATGTATTTCACTTGGTGAACGAAGGTTGACGCGACTATAGGATGATTAGATTTGAGTCATAGATTATTTTAAAAAAGGCGTTACGGCGTTTCTTCTAGATGATATTCCAGAAAATACAAGTATATTTTGATGTATTATACACCTAAACGTCTTGAATGTATGTTTATATACTATGCGATCAAAAATGTATGTAGGTAACGTTGGTAATACCTAAAAGTTTCCGCTTAAATCGCATTAAGGTCAATTCTCACTTGCGATGCCCACGACGCGACATTATTAAAAAAGTTTGCAAATGTGGCGATTTTGAAAAAGTGCGGTATGCAGTGCTTCTTTTGGAAAACACAAAATGGAGACATTCTGCAAACTCCTAAATGCATGATTTTACCTACGTCAAGCACAGTTACAGGGGGGGGGGGGTTGCAGGCGATTAAGCCACTACAGACTGAGGCAGCATTTAAAAATCTGGGAACCCTACCTTGCGTCTTACGGGCCTGTGCAGCTGAAGCAATATTTCGTTTAAATAAGGTGGCTTGATCCTCATCTCCATAATCAACATCTTGGTATTCAAATAAGTGTATTGGACTTTCTTCTACTTCTGGAAGATTCCAAGACACAAAACGACTTTCTGAATACTGCATATCGTTATAATTACGGGAGTCATTCACCTAAAAAATACCATACAACACAAGCACGTCAATAAAAAAACACTTAGGTACAGTATGCAACTTCTGCGTTGGATCTTCAATTGCACGTCGATGCCTAGTCAAAAATCCTTGGGTCGGGTTATCACTGGGTATAAAAGAAGTTGTTGTAATGCTGTGTAGCACATGTCTTTCTTCATTGTCACCAGTTTCACTATCTCGAAAGTTTGGACTTTCTGTAAGTACGTAAAAGAGATTAAATTAACCTGATCGTTGTTACTTACGTGTGGCAAGGGCGTCCCTTTCTCCGTGGTGATGATGTATAAAACCCTGCAAGTAACTCGCTAGTATAGCGATAACGGTTACAAATACCAGAATTAGCGGCAGAAAAACTAAAACCTTGAGTTTCAATTTCCATGACTGTTCGTGTCCGACGCACCAACTGAAAAGATTAGAACACGACGCACGTGGCGCATTTAAAAAATAATGGAGGGATCATGCAAAAGTTGTTAATTACCGAACTCGCCCCGAATCTCCATACGGCGCTAATCTACACGAATTCCACCTTGTTTTCGTTTCCATTTGACACTGACCAAAGAAAGTTCAACCTCACACAACAAATACTACAAAAATGTTCTATGAATTCGACCTTTATTCAATTAAGAACTGGGTCATTTTGATTTAAGGTCTAAATAACTTTATTAGGACTAACCATCGTCGTGTTTTTAAATCAGTTTCGTAGATTTTAAAAAAAATTTGGGTGTGACATTTTTGTAGATGTGGAAGTCTAACCAAGCGTCAACTGACTGTCAATCTATTTTGATCTTGCGCGAAGTTACTTGTCTTTGGATTTAATTGTAAATTTCATTAATTTAAATTAAGTGGCTGTTGTCAGGCAATTGCTGGTGGAAATTAGAGCACTACGGATTGCGTTAGATTTAAATCTTATGAGTACCTATTTAACATTATTGTATAGCTTTTCGCTTCTATTATTATTATTATTATTACAAATGGGTAAGGAATCTTTGTTCTTCACAATGTTATTTACGCCGCCGGTAAGGGGTGTATGACCGATGGGGTTGCAAACAGCGCTTTTTCCTATTACTTAAACATTAACTGAAATCTTGACCAATTAACTTCCAAAAACCCATTTAGCCCACTTCACCTAGTAACACTTAGGTACATAGTAAAAGAGGCAAAACTGTAACACTTTACCTAGATTAAATGAAATACTCCAGGATATGTGTGGGCATTACATCCTCTATCTTCTAACTCGTTGCTAAGTGAGTAACTTGAACTTCATCTTCTAGTACCTTTTCTCGGATAAAACGGTACTAAACTTTTATGTGCTTTGTTTGACGATGAAATTATATGTAGGTTCTGAGCCCGTCTTACGGTAGCGAGATTGTCAACGTGTATAGTATTGGTGTCTCTTTGATATTCCTCATACCTCTAAAGAGTCGCTTAGTAGTGTAGCAGAGGTGTACCAGGACCAGTTCAAGGTCGCTCGCCATGGTCGCGGTGACATTGTGAAGTAAGTCAAGGTGAAGTTTAATGGTCCCCTTCCACGTGACCCCATTTTGGTGGTTATGTTTCATTTTCAAGGTTATAAAAGATCAATAACCCCCATTTTTGTGGTGTAATATTTCATTTGCAAAGCCATCAGAGGCAAATGACCGACCCCATTTTTTATGGTGTCGTACTTCATTTACAAGATCACAGAGGTCAATGGCCCGTCTATCTATTTGTTCGCAACTCGTTTTCTACCCACCCTCTACTCGTTCTCTAAATCTCTACCTTCTCTCTCTCTCTCTCTACCCGCTTTCTACCTTCTTTCTAACCACTCGACTCCCTACCTGCTGTCCTTACCCGCTCTCTTCTGTGTTACCCTCTCTGCCACATGTAATCGCGAATCTGCTCATGTGGAACCCCACTTGCATCGCTGAATATCCGTGCTAACCGACACACGTTTGCACTACTCCCCCCACTTTTGTGATATCTCAAGGTCATGTTCCGCAATTCCGCATGTCACTTAGGATTTTCCCGACTACGTCACAAGGGTATGGCCTGCGGATTTTCCCGATTACGTCACAAGGTCGCCACCTTGGGGTTTCCCCGATTACCTCATAAGCTCATTAGCTTAGGGTTTCCACGGTGACGTCCTTGAATTTTCCTTTTATGGACTTTGGATTTCCAAAGATCATGTGACGTCGCATGATTTGGAATGTTCCAAGCTCCGGGATTTCCCAAGGTCATGATCTCTAGCTTTTTCTAGGGCCGTGGCCTTGAGGTTTGGTACAAGGCCATGGCCTTGGATGCTGATCAGGATTCTAGACCAAGGTCATGACCTTGGGTTCTGGACTGTGCCCCAAGGTCGTGGCCTTTGGATTTCCCCGGTTGCGTAACTAAGGTACCTTGTTTATGAACCAAGATCGTATTGGTCTTGGTACCGCAACTAAACGTGACCTTGCTTTTCTCAAAGCCTTGACTTGCTACATTTGTAAACATTTGCGAGCTGAAGAAGTTATAAATTTTTGTTTAACTAGCAATAGACAACGATTGCAGTGCAGCAGATTCGCTAATTTGCGATTACGTGCGCTGTTTGGCCTGGGTGTTTGACGATCGCAAGTAGACTTGAGTCTCTGGCGCTGGGGCATGAGCCGATTCGCGATTTCGTGGGGCATTTAGAAAAAAACTCACTCTTTTACATCTCTCTACCTTCTCATCTCGTTCTATATCCGCTTTCTACCAGATTTCTATACCTGCTCCTGTTCTCTACGTGCTCTCTCGGTCATTGTGATTTAAACTGTGGCGATCCATAGGGCGATTTATATTGACTATTTGTAATTTTGGTAGAGTAGAAGGTGTATTAATACGACCACAATAGACAATCATGTGTAATACATAAAGTCACACTAAAATTCATGAAAGAATCAAAAGATGCAATAATATAAAGGGGGTTCCATTAAAAAATGCAACAATTGCAATTTTGTTGAAAATATTTTTAGGTTGTAGCGAGGGTTGTCGCCTTAAGGGTCCTTCAACATGCCCCAACAATGAATTTTAAACATGTGCGTTAATAAACCCACAATCTTCCACCCACACACTAATGGCTCACCTTGCATAATGTGCAATATACAGGGTCGCTATTAAAGATGGAACCAAAGACCTCCGCTTATAGTGTTTGAGATGTAGAAAATTAGAACGCTCCCATTATTTCAAATATTTTGAGGTAAAAAAAATTTTTTTGCCACGTTTGTTCTGTGCGATCGCCATCTTGAATTTTTTGAAATGGCAACATAGGTCATGTGATACGTCCAGTAAGAGAACTTATTTTTTTCTCTTTAGTACTACCTTAATCATGGGTGGTGTTCAATTAGAAAATAATGGAGAAAAAACTGGTACAAAATTAAGATTTATTTCTCACGTAATACGATAGCTGTAAGGAACCAAAACATATGTATTTTATCCCTCATTGTATTCTAATTAAAGGTCTCGACGAAAGGAACAGTTTTCGACCAACTACTGCCCTTCTTTTTGTCCTCTTATCAAAGTACGGGGTGGAGGGGAAAGGGGGGAGTGGAACTAGTTTTATCCTTTATGGTATTCTAATGAAAGGTCTCAACGAAAGGAATTAATTTATACTAACCATAGTCTTCCTCCTCGATCCCTTGTCGTGATCGGTTATAATTCCTTATATCTTAAGAGTGAATTGTCAAAGGAGCGTACCTAAAAAGGGCGATTGGGACGTTTGGAAGAAAGATAACTATTGGCCATTTAAATAAAATTTGATACATAGCCACTTGGAATAAAACCAAATTTAACGCCAGATTCAAAATTTCGTTTTGCGCATGCGCAGTGCCAGCTATCTTATTTATGGAGGCATTTAAATAAAATTTGATACATAGCCACTTGGAATAAAAGAAAATTTAACACCAGTTTCAAAATTTGGTTTTGCGCATGCGCGGTGCAACTTTCTTATTTATGGAGGGATTCAAATGAAATTTCATACATAGCCACTTGGAATAAAAGCAAATGTAGGGCCATTTTCCAAATTTGGTTTTGTGTAAGATGTGCAGTGGCAACTTTTTTATTTATGGAAGAAATTTCGTAGAGGTGTTTAAAAAAATGCCCTTTACCTGCACAAGGGTTGTGCACAAGTTGTACTTGTTTCTCTATCGAGTGACGTACAAATCCAATATGGTGTCAATTTACAAATAACGAAGTGATGTGAATATCTCGAAACCGCCATTTTGAAAAAATTTCTGCGTCCATTGAATTTACCCTATCGAATCTTGCAACTTTTATTTCAAACTTTTTTCGATAGATCTCTTTGTTGCTAAAATATTTAACTTTTTAAAAAGGACGATTTTCACTTTTTTCCAATTATCTACGAAACGAATTATTTTTTCAAAATATCGCATCGAAATATCCATCCACATCAAAAACTACACAACTTTCCCAATTTAACCGAATCTGTAAGTATATAATAATAACAAAGATAGCCATGTTATTCTACTCAATATAAGACACCCTGTATAAAAACTTGAAGGTAATAAAGATCCGGTAAATGTAGTCTTGCCGATGGGCATATATGATTGTGTTGTAACACAAAACATGATTGCCGCACACATTAAAACCGCATGGTATTTTCTATCCTTATCGGGAGCAGAATATTGGTTAATTGAAAGGATATTATTAAACTAAGAGAAATTTAAATACGATAAGTCAATAATAAACACAACTAGAATTGCTGTGTACGTTTTCGTATTTAGATTGACTGCATAACACTTACCTTTGCAAGCTCTACTGATCTGGTATATATGGACAATATCTGTTATTACAATCAAACTGTGAGTGGCTTTTTAAACTATTGCGAAAATTGAATTTTTTAATAAAATGACTCGATTCCGTTTCTATTGTAAAATTCAATGTACAACACGGCCAGTGCATACAAAGAAGCCTGATCGAAGAAATTGGATTCACGCGTAGTCTAGAAATTAAACAAAAAGAAATGATTGCCAACAAAAATATTTTAATAGTGTACACATATAAAGAATATAATAATTGATACACCTGCCCGAACAAAACAGGACATTACTATTTACAATGTAAGAAATATTAATATAATTATGTTTAAGAACCCGCAGATGTAAAACACAATCGATATTGCAATATATTTATTTTAAAACATTAAGATCTTTAAATCAAATTAGATATCACAACAGAGAATACCAAGATCCTAAGTTTTACGTATGCTAGGTATATACAAGTTTACAAACGCTTAAAATCCTAAACAGTGGAACAGATTTTCAGTACATTGATAGATTGGAATTGAAAATAAATCGACATAGATTTAATACGGTCTTCTAACTTTTCAATTATGACTAGATCGAAACAATAATGAATCATTTAAGCTACCTCCAGGTCGGACGAGTCGTCGTCGCTGTAATGCGGTGGTGGTGCGAGCAATCTCGGTTGCTCTACAACTCTGCAGACTTCCTCCTCCTGCAACTTCCTCATGCGCTCTTGCTCTTCCCTTTTCTGCTTTCGCCACTTCGCGCGTCTGTTTTTGAACCAGACCTGCGGAGATGATAAGAGGAATATTAATAATAATCGCCGCATAATGAAAAGTCATTTGTGATCATTGTCTCGGACAAGTTTCGGAGATCCACTTAACGCCTTTTGCAGCTTTAATCAAAAATGAGTGTGCCGCTTTCTTTCTATATAAATGAGGGAGGGTGAAGAATTTGAGGGTACGTAGGCCATATTGCGGCCACTTGACGCGGTGATGTAATTATTATATTTGCATTAGAATAATTCGAGTTTAAGGGTTTGTTTTGCTTCGAACAATGGTACAATGGAAGCCTTTTATTCGGTTCTCGTAATGGAATTAAATTAAAAGCTCGTTTTATTGTGTTTTTCTGTTTAATATACGGTTTCGAATTTTGACCTGGAAATTTCTTTTACCTTCATTGTAAAAGTGGATCTATTTTTAACGAACACCAAGACGGATAGCCTCCCTAATCTTTAAAATTGGCAGCGACGACGAAGCGAAATTACCGATAATCTGTCTATTGTACGGGAGCAAATGGCTGGATGAAACCCTACTGTACTCGATACTTCATATCATCGCATTAATAAATACAATCACTTCTCTGAAATAATTTGAATGTTTGTTTTAGGTTAGCTGTGTATACATAAGCTCCGACGGATTCAATGTGGGGTTGGGTATTACAAAAGCGAATATCAATCTAGCGAATTAACGGGTTTCCTATGCCATATACGCCGATTATACTGCTTCCATTAGCCATCCATTTATTAAAATAATATAAATTACAAGATCCCACTAAAGCGAGTATTATTAATTTATTATTCCTACTTATTAAGTATGTTGCTTGTACGAAAAGAAGGTTTTCGACGTTAACTTTTGCACAAAATAAATACCAACCTGAACCTTTAGTTTTGTTACAGGGTTTCAAATTTTTTTTTTCGCCATGAACTTTTGGTAGCCAAGTTGCATTATCTTGGACTTTCTTCTACCGCTACTAATTGGTTTAAAAGATACTTACATAATCGAATGCAGATGGTAAGAACTTTGAGGGATGGAAGCTACAGTGACTCCAACATTTTACCTGTTAACATGGGGGTTCCGCAAGGATCTATTCTCGGACCACTTCTTTTATGTTTATATGTTTTCGATATGGATACGTCTTTAGCGGTTCCTACATCCACAGTCACGCGGACGATACATACTTAATCTATCCTGTTCATCGAAACAACCTAAATTACTCTCTGAGAAACTTTAATGAGCAGTTAAATCGGTTCGAGAGATGGCCTGAGAAACATTCCCTAAAGATAAATCCTTCTAAATCTTCTCTGATGCTATTGGGAACAGCAAAATCTGTTACTGCATTGTGGGACGATGTGGACCAAAAATTATATCTGAAAGATTCTCCGCTTCAATTAGTTAGGGAATCTCGTAGTTTAGGAGTAGTAGTGGATTGTCACTTAAACTTTTCCTTCTACGTCAACAAACTGATTCAAATTGCTTACGCAAACCTTAAATGTATATATCATTTCAAATACGTTCTTCCACCAAAGGTCAAGTGGCAGCTTGTAGACTCTTTAATACTGTCAACTTTAGATTATTGTGACACTGTCTATGGTCCGTGTCTAACTAGTGTAAATAAGACTCGCCTGCAAAAAATCCAAAACTCTTGCATCAGGTATGCGTTTAACATTAAGAAATATGAACATATTTCCCATATTTATCATGCACATAGAATTTTGAACATGGGCGAAAGACGCCATTTACATCTTACATGTCTGGTTCACAAAATATTAGTATCTGGTGAACCTTCATATTTGTATACTAAATTAAAATTTCAACGTAGTATTCGTAATCTCCGTAACCCATTCTTTCTTGACATACCAAAGCAGCAATAAAACCCAGTTTCATGGCGCATTTACATATTTTGCACCACTCATTTACAATAACGTTCCGAACTTTCTTAAATTATTAAGTCCAAACGGTTTCAAAAAACACCTCAGAGTACTTCTTTATCACTGAATCATATTTTTTATGCTTTACTTGTATGCTTACTTGTTCTCACCTGGACTATCATAAATTGTTTTAAATACTCCATCAGGTTTTTGTACTTTTTCTGTATCAAGGTTGGGATTAATAGCAGCCTTTGGCTGACACCCCGCCTAAATAAATCCCTTATTATTATTATTATTGTCGGTGTTTCTTGTGAGAACTCAGGTCTAGCCTGGTTAACTAATCGCACGGATTAAAATCAAGTAACGATTAGTGTCTGTGTCTGGTGAAGTTATGTAGGGTTCTAAAGAAAAATAAAAAAATAAAAAATAAAATAAATATTCGCACACTCACATTGGAAATCTAGGGATAGTATGTAATTCATACTTACCAACATAGTTTATTTATTATTATTATTATTATTTTTTATTTTAAATTTCACACTTTTGTGGAGTTATGTCAGTGGACGGGTGTCAACACCAAGTACCACTGATACCTATTGTTATTTTTATGGCCAGTGTAGAAAAGATCGCACTATATTGCATGTTTTTAGGATGACGGATTTTTGTGCTAGTGTGTGTGTACGTGGTGGTAGTTGTAGTATGTCTAGGTTTGGTGTAAATGTGATGTGTGTGAGACCTGTAACAGATATTACAAAGGGAAGTATTAAGACTTTATCCTGTTTCCATATTCTTTGGACTTCTTGTGCGAGGGGTGTATATTTTTCAATTTTTTCTTGGTGTTTTTTGTGAATGTTGTCGTCGTTTGGTATGCTGATGTCGATTAGGTATGTTGTTTTGTTATGCTTGTCTGTGTATGTGATGTCTGGGCGATTGTGTGTAATTGTTTTGTCAGTGCGTATGGTTCGATCCCAATATATTTTTATGTCTTGGTTTTCTATGACTGTTGTTGGTGTGTATGTGTAGTAGGGTTGTGTGTCAATATTGGTGTTGTGTTTCTGTATTAGTGCCTGGTGTATTATACCTGCTACAAGATTGTGTCTGTTTGTATACTCCTTTCCTGCTAGTATTTTACAACCACTGGTGATGTGATCTATTGTCTCTTTGGCTATGTGACATTTTCTGCAGTTGTCGTTTTCCATGTCTTCTTTTAGAATATATTTCCTGTAGTTTCGTGTTGCTATAACTTGGTCTTGAATTGCGATTAGAAAACCTTATGTTTCTGGTTGTATGATCCCGTCTTGTAGCCATTTGTAACTTTGTAGCGTGTTGATGTGTTCGTCTTGTACTATGTGTGGGTGTCTACCGTGCAGTTGTTTGTGCAACCATTGTTCCTTTTTGTCTTGTGTTGTTTGATAGTGTGGATGAGTGATGTTTGTGTCGTGAAGGTTGAGGGGTGTGTAGCCTTTGTCTGCTCGTATAATTGCTGCATGAATGGGGTGTTCTTGATTGTGAAAGTATTGTCTTAAGTGTTGTATTTGTGTTGAGTGTAGTTCGGCTATGTTTATTATTATTATTATGGTCAGTGTTTCTTGTGAGAACTCAGGTCTAGCCTGGTTAACTAATCGCACGGATTAAAATCAAGTAACGATTAGTGTCTGTGTCTGTGTCTGGTGGAGTTATGTAGGGTCCTTAAAAAAAAATCACACACGTACATTGGACATCTAGGGATAGTATGTAATTCGTACTTACCAACATACCTATTGATGGGCACAATAGCCAACGCTATCAGGAAAGAGGAAAACAAAACAAAACAAAAAAAAATCATTATAATAATTCCTATAATTTTATTAAATGGAGTTTATTGTGTAAGTGTTTCTTTTGTGTATTTCATTATCTTTTCCAGAAATCGTCATGTAAGCCTCATTTTCATGCCTACATTATGTTAAGTTTTAGTTTCCATGACAGTAGCAGTACTTTTTTCCTGACTACTTTTCCAGCCTCCTGTCACTTTAGCAGGCTCCTATTAAAAGTGACACATTAACGTAAGGTTTTATACGATTACAAATGTTATATTAAAAATTATCACAGTCCTCGTGTGTGGCAGATCAATATTCTACTACCCAGTTTTGACTCCACCATCAATAAGATCTTGTCGAAGGCTACCACATTCCTTTTGTCAGTACCCACTTCCGACGTCACGTTCACCCGCAAATCGAATTTGAAGTTTTGACACCAACATCAGTAAGATCTTGTCGGGGGCTACCACATTCCTTTTGTCGGTACCCAGTCCCGACGTCCCGTTCACGGGCAATTTGCATTTTGGAGGGTTTCGCTAAAAACCTGCCACAAAATAGTACTCAATTTGGGGTGCTTCTCAAAGCTCGAGCTTCTATTGGCGACACAAGAAGGAGAGACCACGATGAGAGCTCTAAGATAATGTTGGGCCCAAAAAGTCCACTCGACTCGAAGACGCGCGCCTTGCAAAAGGTGGTTAATGTCCCTAGGAAAAAACAACATTCCCCCACGTAGGAGTTGTGTGCGTTTACAAGATCTTTCCGACGACACCAATTTGAAAACAATCGGACCAAAACTGTAGAAGAAGAAGATAGAAAAAAATGTTCCAAAACCCACTCGTGGGTATTGCCGCGTAACACAAAGTATTGAAACGACGCATCGTCACCAAAAGCACACAAAATGTCGAATCTGCATATTGAAGCACGTCCACGTTCAGAGAAAGAGAGGAGTTAAATAAGTAAAATAAAGTTTCAAAGAAATATTACCATACATAAGAAAGTTGGCTATGAGCAGCCTGTGCAGTCACTGCGTATGCCCACATAATTTTTACTATGCGCGAAATGTTTATCTTTACTAGAAGCGTCTGTGGTTAAAATTTCAAAGCAATATCTCCACAAATAAGAAAGTCGGCATTGCGCAGTCACTGCGCATACCCACATAATGTTTACTATGTGCAAAATGTTTACCTTTACTAGAAGCGCCTGTGGTTAAAATTTCAAAGAAATATCTCCATAAATAAGAAAGTTGGCATTGCGCAGTCTGCGCAAAATATGGAGTTAAATGAAACTGATCGAATTGGGCAAATATAGACCATAACAGCTATCAATTAGCGAAAACCCGAA